TATATATATATATATATATATACATATATAATTGTACGTGATGAAGACCAGAGGACTGGTCAAGAATTTCTTTCGAAAATAAATACAGTGTTCAACAGTCTACATGCCTTGTTGTCATAATTTTTGCTTCAACGACTAATATATAAGTTGAAGAACACAGGTGGATTTGCAGTTATTAGGAGAAGAAATTGTACTTGTAAGAATGTTTCTGTAAAAAGTGAAAATAAAAGTATCTTGTATTTTGTATTGAGGTATTAAAACTCTATTCGTTTATGTTTTGGTGAAATAATAGGCCTATCGTTATTATTATACAGTTCATCAGGTTTTCGGTTTTTTCGAATTAAACTTGACCCATCTAAGATATAAAACTGTACCCAGTTGACCTAAATATGCTGCGTGTGAAGCTAAAGTTTAAACAGCTTACCAGATTTTGAATTCACAGAACGATTCCTTCGGGTACATCAAAAGCATACGGGAAATAATTTATCCTGTATACCCCATATAACCTTCGTGTAAACCACCTTTTACTAATGACTTTATTGACAGATTTCCGCTCCCATTTTGTACACTAACTGATATAGGCATAATTAGAATATTCTGAATATTGTTTGAAGGTTTAAAAAGCTCATCAAGCAACACATTTTAAACAAGGATTTATATTCCCCTTTTTTCCTGTGTGGGTTCGGGTGTTGGTGTGTGTGTGTGTGTGTGTGTTTGTTTTTACTTTGTCTGTTTTGTCTGTTTTTTTTTCTTTAGCTTTCTTTTTCTTATTATATTTTTTTAGTATTTTAATGTTTGCTGTTTTAAATGTTATGATTAATCGATAGATTGGCTATAATTTTATATACTTTTTATATTATTGTATTTAAGTGGGCCTCTGAACATTAGATTTATTCTGTAAGAGGGTCGCCCACTCAAAATATGGTTTTAAATAAATAAATAAAGGTTTGCATAGTTTACTTTGAGCCTTAATATATAATTTTGGAAACCATGGTCCCCAAATGAAGATTTCTACCTCACTGGTAATTAAAATAAAATTATATGACCATATTCTCCAAGCTATCGCCCCTACTTTTTTTTATCCTACTCCATCATCCTAGACTATGGACTATCTATGATCTCAAAACACGGTGCTACGTAGATACGCCACTGGTTGTCCCATTATGCAGATGATAAATGCATTTAATACCGTCAGTTTTTCTAGCGTTTGATACTGGTGTGCAATTTTACAAAAGATATGCCTATCAAAATCAATATGAGGAAATAATATGCTTATCTCTCGACTCCAGTATCAAATTGGCACTTGATTATAACTGGCATATCGAAGGTTTTGGTCCCTAAATGCATAGGCATGTCAGTTGAGTCAATCGATAACCCGTTTATAACCATTTAATTTTGAGGGTAATGGGTAAATATGATCGTGAAATAGGCCCAAATAGGGCAGTGTGGTTTCTAACTATGCACACCTTTCTAAAAAAAAAAATCATCGTGATAGATGCTGCCAAACGGCCAGGGCTGCACTATAACACAAGGGTGTCTAATGTTGTTCTGTGTGAAATCATTAAAACGATTTATTTTTTAGAAGACTTATTTCTACCACTCAAACCATAAGCGGTGGGATCTCGAAAAAGAACCGAAACAAACGAAACAGAGTACCAAATTCCTAGTACAGGGACAGTGGCATCAAACAGAGAGGCAGAATCCTGGGGGTAGCCGACCCGCCTCACTCTCCATTTTGGGAAAATTAGAAAATAGAGGGAAAAATTAGTGTGAAAATACAGGTTAGACAGAGGTGCAGATCCTCCGTCACTAAAATTCCCTATATAGGCACCCAGCATTTCAACTTCCTGGACACAGCACTGGTGCTAAATGTACAGAACAAAGACGTAGCCGTCGGAAGCATTGCAAGTGTCCGGCCATTATAATAAGAGGTGGGAGGGGTGCTTAGCAAATTTGGCTGCTAAATTGCAGAATTAAACTCAGTGGGGTCTAATTGCATATCCACCCTAGCCCAACCAATGTTGGTAAAACTTTTTTTTTTTTTTTTTTTTTTTTTTTTTTTTAAACATCTGGATGCCCGAAAATAGCAGCTGGTAACCTAAAGACCCACTACCCCTTCCATCAAGGGGCAGCCAGAGGATTTAAAATTTAGCATAGAGAAAGTCTACCCATCTCAGCGCCAACTCGGTCAGGGTGAGGTGAGCAATTTAAAAAAAAAACTATCGTTTATGCTTTTTTTTTTTTTTTTTTTTTTTTTTTTTTTTTCAGATTCAAAAATATAATAGGCCTATATAGCACTAACTGCGTTGTACGATGAAACAAACTCCGCTCCCGGTGGGCGCTGGATGACGCGACGTGCTGATTTTCCGCCGTGGCAGTCATTAAAAACGTTACGTGCGCGTCTTGGTGTTGTGTTCTCTATAGTATCACGTTGGCCAACGACCGTCGGACGGGCGAATTGAGTGCTTGGCTTTAGGCCTATTTTTTGAGTATAAGGCTCTGTCTCTGTCATTATGAGAGAGTAGGCCTATTTAGATGACTGATGTCACAGTCAACTGCAAGAGTTCATTGCGTATAGGCCAATATAGCTCCTGTTTATCACGTTAAGCTGCACTCACATCGGATCCGAACCGAAATTCAGAAGTTCTGAACGCTAGTATCCCTATTCTTACACACTGATTCGATTTGCTGGTTGGTTCGGTAGGCCTTCCAATCCGAATATTCGGCTTCAGTGACAATGTCCCTTCAGACTGTGAAGTGATGACATCCCATATGTGTTAGGGGGCCTATAGTTCAAACAGTAAAAGTTTTATGCGATAGAGGTGGGTCTAGAATTGAAACTAGGAGCACCAATTTCATAGGCCCCTCGTTTCAATTCTGTAATTGAAACGAGGGGCCAAGCCATAGGTAAAAGACAGATAAGTAAAGATGTTACGATCCAGTTTCAATACGTTGTTACGAGATATTTGTTTCTATTTCGTGGTTTAACCAACACGTTCATTCAATATCATTTTCATAAATCAAAGTAATCAATGCCACTATATGTTATAGTATTATTTTTTTAGAAGAAACTATATCAAACACTTTAGTCATAGCTCACAGAAAAAGTCCATTTCTTAAGTGACTTTACAACCCTTGCTTTTTATTATAGCACTTAGTATTTAGTGGCAAAACCGAAGCACGTTCCGCCGGTCCCTAAATCCGCCCCGGCATTATTAGGTGTTCGCGCGTTCGTTGGCACAGCTATGACGTTGATAATGAAAATACAGTTTTGTATAGCGCATAAATATTAAAAAAAAATATATACATCAATGCGCATAAGAGTGAAGGATATTTGGGTGTGGAGGCCCTGGTTCAACTGGAGTCTGGACCACCCCCTTAGCCCGATGGTGACCTGCCACAAGCAGGTCTTGATCAAATATAATACTCTACATCCATGTCGTTACACTTTAAAAAACATGTAGGCTTATGTTTAAGCATTTTAGCTATAGAAGCCATAGGTAAAAGTTGCCTTAAATTTAATTTATCTGTCTAGTTTAAGTCAATTGAGATTGAGCTCTGCAAGAATAACCCTAAATTAAACTTTTTTTTTTAAATTTCTAGTATCATAATACTGTAAGTATTCAGCCCTATACTTTAATTTATCATATTCATCATTATCAACATAATAATTATCATCTTCTTTTTCAGCATTAGCACCACCATCATCATTATTGTTATCCAGGGGCGGATTTAGCCCCTCCCTCCCCCACCCCCATTTGGAAAGTTAAACAAGAAAAAAGAATAAAGCAGAACGACCCCCTAGTGTAGGCTTGTCTCGATCGGCCTCACTTTCGGATATCTCTGGATCCGCCCCTATCATCATCATCATCAACAACAACATCATCGTCATCATTAACATCACCAATAACATAATCGTCATCATCATCATCATCATCATCAATCATCAGGATCGATTTGTGATTAATGAAACAAATTTAGTGTTTATCATACAATAGATTTGCAGTGCGTAGACTTGGTAATGCAACACGTTCGACTCGTTTAATATCTCTATATTTATTACTGTATTTATTTGATTGAATTTACTCCATATCTAAAGACACAATACATAACATGGAAAATAAATACTTTTTTTTTATTTACAGAGAAATAGACACAGTATAAATGTTGGGAGCGTTGGGGCAGTAGTTGACCTATAAACCTTTAGGTTGGGGTTCAAATCCTTGCTGTTCATTTCGATTGTATTCTAAAGACTTGTCCAGACTATCAAATGTTATTTGACGAAAACATGTGACATGCCTAAATATGGTATTTATGACATCACATTATGACCATATATAGGCACATCATGACACTATAGGCATACAACAGTCATTTTGTCAAATAAGATTTGATAGTTTGATAGTCTTGACAAAACAATAACAAAGGAAGAAAGAAAACGGCATCAACACCTTGTACCCTTTGTTAAAAGGCGTGGTATACATTTTCATTTTAAACAGCACAGGTCGACGTACTGTTGGAAAAGATGGTATTGATATATTAAGCTGAATATGCTTATTTGTTTCCATTCTGAAATGCTTGTATTTGTGTTTTTATGTGTATAATTGGGTGGGGGTAATTTCCAGTTGAGCCCATTGTAGGTACTTAATTACTCGTTCTCCTATCATAAAGCATGCGACCTTGTCAAATACGTTTTATTCCAAAAATATTAATTATACCAATCATTATAAAAAAAAATAATGATTTACTAGTAGGACCTAATTATTGTGTTTTAGATTTTAATAAAAACAAATGAAGGATCAAACAAACAATTAACTGTTTGAAAGTACGGTACACTTTCATGAACACAAATCTTGAAACAATAGTATTAATAATCATGAACATTTAGTGTAAAAAAATAAATTCTAAGGCCAGCATTGCGTGATGAAACCTTCCACTAAGCCTCGTCTCTAGATTATTGTTGCTATAAAAAAATAAAAAAAAAATAAAAAAAAAAAAATAGGGGAAAAGTACGCAAACACGTGCGTTTATGGGACAAGCAATGCACTTCTGACTCTGTTTTTACAAGTTTTCGGTTGTTGAGTTCGATTGACAGTACAGAGAGGTTAATTATATAATGATATGATAATAGGCCTAAGTCTCTTTAAAGACGTTTAGTTAATCATTGCTGTACAAAAAATTATACTCAAACTCTGAAATCAAATTTTCTTTGATGTACTTGTCACGTATTCGAAGCCGTTTACATTTTCTTTGTTTCTTTTTCAAGCTTAGAACTATCTGACAATCACCTTTGTAGGCCACTCGCAAGTTATTTTCATAAAAGCATTTTTCACGTTGAAATGCACACATATTTGGGTAAGTGATAAATGAAAATCCGTTGGTAGCACAAACGACGTTGTTATAGTCGGTACAGTCCAAGTTGCAGATAAGTGCCGGATCTGAAAAAAAAAAATCACAGTATAAATCACAGGGGCAGATTTAAGGGGGAGGGGAGAAAGAAAGAAAATAAATTGTTGATCGCCAAAAACACCTCAGAAGTTATGTCTAGGCGTCTAGAAAACAAACATTTCGAGGGGCATGCCTCCGAACCTCTTACGGTAGTGTTGTCTCCCGATCGGACCACTCCCATCCGCCCCTCAGTCATATATTCTTTAATAAAAATCATTTATTTTCATTTCTACTACTACAACAACCAAGGACAAAAGGAGGGGGCGGGGCAACAGCCATCTGTTGTCCAAGATTCAAGATTTTTATTCCATCTAGGACTATTATCCGCTTAAATAACAATACATATACACACAATCAAAATCACAATATATACCTTATATTTACTGATTCAAAATGCCTAATTTAATGTTAATATCATTGGGGGAAATAAACAAAGGGTCAATAGTTAGGTCGTTAGCAATTTTAATTGTATAAGGAAAGAAAGATGATAAAAACCTTAATTAGCGACCTAAAAATGGAAGACATTGGGTGTGGCGGGAGTTTCTAAGAGAGATGGAACAATTACGGCGTAGAGGAAGGAAGGGGTGTAGAGGATGATTTGGTTTTTTCGCCATCCTAGATAGTGAACATAGAACAAAAAAAAATCTGTTGAACTTCAAATGAAGAAACATTATAAAACAAAAGAATAGCAGCAGAGGTCGGCTAGACGAGGAGGCAAAGGGATTAACTATTTTAGCGAAAATTGTCTCAATTCGATGAAAGAAATACATGTCACATTTAGGAAGCAGACAATAAATGGAACATGCATAATCAACTGTTAATTCAAGAGAGGCACTATTTGCCAAAGAAAAGACAAAAGGTCAATGCACCTTAACGTCATTGCGTGATCAAGGCTTTCTGAAGTAGCAACCAAAACATAGTAAGCGAAATTTAATAATTGCTTTAACAGAACGAGTAGATATAAGAGAAATCAATTATTTTAATTTTTTCCCAGATTTTACAAGCGCACTCACAAGGTAAAGAATGCAAGCACAATAGTGTACTTTATATACACACAGATATGTGTTTTATGTTTCGTCAAATAACTTAATAGAATTGACTTCTGTCATGGTAAAAATCATGGTGCTTATATCTATAAAAAAGTAAGTATACTTGTGCGCCGCAGTTAGGTCTACCACATTATCATCATCATCAGCCTGTCAGGCCACTGCTGGCCGATGGCGATTTTTTTTCCCGTACGAAACATTTGCATGAAACTTCACTCGGGCCATCTCGGATTGACTCGACTGAGTTCGATACTAGGAACAAGAGCAGACACTTCGCAATGTCGTGACGCTCGAGTTTTACTATTATTGATCTTTCTATGTTTACCTACGGTAGACCTATGATGATGAACCATAACGGATTTATGGGATGTACGTGTGTAACGTAACTAACTGTGACCTTCTTGATGTTATTAAATGTTAGTATAATATCTACAAAAACAACAGCTAGTACCCCCTTTTATAAAGTGTAGATAGGTACAGTAATACCAAAGGCTAGAGTGAAAGAGGATGCCTAACTACAGGCTGAGTAAGCCCTACCTAGGCCCCTAAACTATAGGCTTAGGTCCCTAGGGTTCTAGGCAGACACCAACAGTCACGCTTCACATACAGACGTTGATTGAAATTTTCAAAAAAAAAAATGGGAAAAAAATTGAAGCATGAAATAAAAATTGGAGTGCATAAGAGAAATATTATTAAATAAATAAAATATACTATTCCAGCGTTATTGGACTTGGCCAAAGTACTATCGTTGTAATGTAATTAAATGTTAAATAATAATAATAATAATAATAATAATAATAATAATAATAATAATAATAATAATAATAATAATAATATTAATAATAATTTCAGCATTACCTTGCCCTAAGACTTGTTGAAGAACCATACTATAGGCCTATAATAATAACTAGCCCAAGGGGATATCTTGTGTTATTTTTTTTTTTGTTCTCTAATTCATCCATTGTCTAAGTTCCCCTTAAGGTAGGCCTACAGGTTGGTTTTAGTAACATAATAATAATTAATAATAATAATAAATAATCATTTCGGCATTACATGTAATTAATTTGGTCTAGCCTTGTAATCAAGAACCTGCAGATTACTATGCCTGATATTAATAATTATTAGGCTTAGGTCTCATTTATACATTCATTGGTGCTCTGCCATTTTGGCTGAGGTCTTATGGCATCTATTTTAGAGCTGCCTATTCTCAGTTCTTCTCTATTAATTTGAAAATAACCGCCACCCTGTTTCATTTGATGAAGAAACGCCCCGAGAAACGCGCTTTTCCTTACTCTCTGTGCTTTCCCCAGAAAGCGTATATTTTTAGTAGTTAGTAGGCCTAGGTATGCAAAACCCAGCAAACTGAAAAATAAAAATTGTCACAGTATGTAACTCAAGTTAAAATAACACTTTTCATTACTCGTGCAGCTCAATCAAATATTTTATGTCATTTTAAACGACCATTAGTATTCTGAGCACGGCAAAATCAATGTATTTTTAAAAAATAGACAGCGACGTTTCTAGAAGTTGTTTTGTAGGCGTTTATCTGTTGATGAACTTTTGACCTCCTGAATTCTGCAATACTGTATGAGATTTTCGGGTCGAGACGGCCCGAGTGGAGTTTCATGTAAATGTTTCGTACGGAAAAAAAATCGCTGGTCGATAATGTTCTTTGCAAGATTTGCCAAGTTCGCACCTAGCTCCTTCTGGAAAAGATCACTTCATCTCTTTATATTTTTCTTTTGTGTTCGTATAGCGTCCACATTGTTAACTTTTTTGGCCCACCTGTGGTTCCTGCGAGCTAGATGGCCTGCCCACTCCCACTTTGTTATAGACAGCTTATATATCAGATAAATCATTAATCTTTGTTGCCTTTCTTATATCTCTATTTTCCCACTTATCAATTCTACTGATGTTGAGCATAGACCTCTCCATAATTCTTTGCCCCAATGCCACATACAATAGGTTTATTTAATTTGTTTTATTTTACTTTACTTCAATTCACATCCTACAACGGGATGCTCGCCTTTAGCAGATAATTGTTCCAATTCCAAAAAAAATTTCCAATACACAGTAACATTTTAGGTAAAATGTTTTCCACAGGAGGAAATTTGGTGATAAGCCAAAGGATTATGCTAATGCGCCCTACGAAAATGTGTCACAGCATAATGTATAATCCAGATGAATTATATAATAAGCAAAAAGCCATATGTGTGCCACATTTTTTATAAACATATTTATACAGGTTTAAAAACATCAGGTGGTTGTGTTATAACCTGTTTTTTCATATGGTCCTGTTCAAATTTATACTAGGATGATAAAACATAAATTGTACATCACACTTCAGTAAATATAAAATTCTGATACACCAAAAATGAATTATTAGATGGTAAAAATGCGTACTTGTTAATGATGATTTTCTGTTGACAACACTAATTACTATAAGTACCAAACCAAATGAAACTGCTCCAACATATGCTACCACCAGTTTTTGTTGCACTATAAGTAAAATACATGCCCTCAACTAGGTGTCAAAAGTTACTGTCTCTTATACACATCTAGATGTGTATAAGAGTTTACAATTGAATAATATCTGGTGTTATCTAAGGTGATGATCTATTTTTCAATATCATTGATTTATATGGGGCATGTCGATTACATGTAGATGAAGGAATTTTTTCAATTGTTCCAAACAGAGTTAATATATATTTTTATTACCAGTTATAGTTAGGCCATTCATTTCATTATTTTCTTTTAATTTTTTGTTAAAAGATTCTGTATTAAAATGTTTAAAATTTCTAAATGTAATTGTTTTATGCCCAGTATTCTTATTTCTATATTCAATACAAGTGTAGACTAAAGAGTAGTAGCTTAGTGCTATATGTGCAACTCAATTGAGAATATGGCGTTCTGGTATCGATGATAAAATTAGATCTATACAAGTTGCTGATGGTTGTGCAATTCTTGTTTTGTCGTTAACTTATTGGGTTAGTTCGAACATATTTTCTAGTTTAATAATTGGTTTTTTTTTTTTATTAAGATCAATATCAATTTTATAATAGATTTTAAAATCTCCTAACTAAATTATTTCCTTATTTTCATTGCAGACTTTTTCTAGCATGTTTGTCATCTTGTCAAAATATTCGATTTTAGAGTCGGGCGGTCGATATATACATGATATTAGCCTTTATAAATTAATTGGATCCATGCTTCTTCTATTTCTCCGAAATATAAATTTAAGTCTTTTCTGTAAACAAATGGGATTCCTTCATTTACATAAATCATAACTCCACCACCATCATTTTTTATTTGTTACGAGTAAACCACAGTCCTTTCTAATTACAGTATCCTTTTATATTTTACAAAGTATCAGGGTGTGTTTCACTTAACCAAGTTTCTGTTATAACAAGTATATAAATGTAGTTTTGTTGGAAGAAATTTTGTTTCGTATAATTTATTTGCAATGCTGCGAACATTTAGATGTTTTCAGTGTTCTTGCACACTTGTTATATCAGCATTGTTCATTTTTTCTTACTTTTTTGTTTGCCATATTAATATTCAATGTGTCACTATTTTTATTTTTTTTCTATTTTTATTTTATCTTTGTAACAATTATTATTAATATTATTAGTAATGTCGTCAATGTCCTTTATTTATTATTATCAATATCGTTTCTCTCATTAGTAACTGTAGGAAAAACGTCATAAACATCAGAATTGTTATCATTATTTCCGAATATTATAATACACTCTTGCTGAAATAATAACAGACAGCGTCTCTTTTTACTCTATACCCTTTATGCTGTTGATTCTGACTGTATCGCTGCCTCTCGGTTGTATAGTGTTTCTTGTTGGTTGTCGCGGATATGTAGTATATAAGATAAGAGAGGGAGATTGTTAAGCAGTCACTTTACTCTTGCCTCTAATAGACCCCTTGCTTGCAAT